GTTGAGTTGTATACATTGCAGGAATTGCAATTGGAAGCTGTATCTTGGCCCGTAGTGCGAGTATAACTCATTTTTGTGACTCCCGTGTAGCTTCCCCCATCTTAAGGTCGTCACCCTTTCAAATAAAAAGGGGAAACTGTGGCTGTGACACACTTTTAGTTTGAAATAGGCAAGAAAAGACAAAGTGGCGCCCATGTCAGGGTGTGAGTTTCAAAATATGCAAGTTTAGCGGGGGTCTAAAGTGCGCCAGTCGCTACCCAAAGTGGCGCTTGGCATATTTTTTTAGGGTCGCCCTTCTTGCTCCATTTTTCGGGAACTGCTAAAGTTGTCTCTACTCCTTCGGGACATCCTTTAAAATTGGAACGATACTGAGAAGATTAGCATGGGCCCTGCACAAGGATGACGCACATAAATCGAGAAATGGTCAAAAAAAAGAAAAAAGTTGCCTCTTTTGAATGTTTGGCGTAACTCCAACGTACTTGCCCCTTTTTTTCACCATGGTGGTAAGAGAACTAGCAGAATCAGGGCTGCTGGGTGTGTGACGCCCAACCTCACGCCCAGCGCAACTTCCTGTTTCGGAGTGTTAGTGGGCTTGGAAGTGCGAAGAGGGGTGTGCCAAGGATTTTAGGAAAGTGGGGGTGGAGTCCGAGGTCGGAACTGGAATCTCCGGCGTCAAGTTTTGAGGGTAGGAGTGCAAGTGTCTCGTTTTTGCTCAGAATTGGGACGATCACCGATCTCGCGGCCTGGGCCAGGCACGTATCTGATGTACAGGCGGAACGCTATGAGTATGTCTTTGAGAGCGCATGTACCGTCGTTGGCCAATGCACGTCTCAGAGTCTGATGAGGACGGTCATAGTTGGAGACTGTGCTCCCGAAGCTGTGTTTCGGAGTGGGTTCGTCATATGAACCCTGCTTCGCGATACTCGTTGTATTGTTGGCACACCGGGCATGGTCTTCAGGGCAGGTAATGAGCTATGGAGTCCCACGGAACAACCGTTAGGTGGTGATACAGGAGAAGGACGTAATACGGAGAAAAACGGGTAGTAATAGCGACGAAGTCTGGGGTTAGATAATACTGTCTTTTGCGGGTGTCAGGATAGTTTGGAATCCGAGAATCCTGGTTTATTGCCCATTGGAGATCGCCCCTGCATAGTCGATCGTTCTCAGTCTGACAGGGGTAGTCAAGATTCCGTGAGTTTCTTCGTCGCCTAAGTTGTTCTCTTTCCCAATATGTCCTATAGTCTGGGTTCCTTAAGCTCTCCCGGTCGGTGACCCGTAAGGGAGTTTCCACCGCCATATCCTACTCAATGGACTTTAATTACATACATTTCCTAATGAAGCGAGATCGCAGCTGGGCTTATGTAGACACGCGTGTATGTTGCAGACTCCGTTGTCGGACTTGTTGTCATACACGGGCACTTGCGCAGGCCGACTGCTCAGATCCAATCTTGTCGAGCGGATAAGTCGGTGATAGGCGCTTTTGTTCGTGTGTCGGTCTATCCCGTATGCATGCAATTATTGTCCTCATGCAACCATCATCATTCCAAGTGAGATCCAATCATTACATACATATCCATACCATCATGCAACAAAGAAGTGATTGCCCAACATCAAAGACCAATACATGAGATCCTTCCTGCAATCATGCATGAACTAAGAGCAAGTGGTCAGGCAAGACATGCGCGCCGAGCGTATCCGGCGAGATCCGGGGGAACAAAAACTCGCGGATTGTTGTGCACGCATCGTGATTAGATTTAGGAAAGCCAGGTGAATAACTTTTTTCCCCTTCTCTCCCACATCTAACACGTACCTCCCCCTTTTTGGTTCTGGTAGGCAACGGACAGTGCCCATACCTTTGAGAACTGTGTTCTGTGTCTCCTTTACCACCTTTTCATCCGACGGCTGTGTCTGACGTATGGGAACTTCAAAGATTCATCCTCTGCCACTTGGGTCAACACCTTGGGGCCTTGCTGCGAGTTGACACAAATAAGGGGGACCAATCGCTCAACTGGTTTCTTTTCTTCTTTGTCATTTGTTGATAGGGTAGTCATAGGGGCCGCAAAAGACAGATCCCACTGTACGTCCCCTCTTTTCATTTGTCGTTTTTTCTTCGTGTTTTCAACTGAGCTGGCCGAGTCCGGGCGGGCATCTCGATATGATTTACGGAACACTATTCCGTTGACGTTCAGCTTCCCCTTCTTAACCGGGGGATTTTCCGGATAGGATCCTCCCGTATGTCTATTTTCATTTCCCCCTTCCCAGCCTGCCCGTCTTTTCCCAGTTTCCTGCAAACCTTTCTTTCCTTTCCTTGGTGCCTGTTTTTTCCTTGCTGCTCTTGCTTTAAACAAAATCTCAGCAGCTTCCACCACCTCCATATCCTCTGACTTCGTTTCTTCTGAGGTAACCGTCTCTATTATAGGAACGGTTTCAATTGATGGAAACTCTTCACTTTGCTTAACTGCACCTGACACTTCTACGTACTCCGGAAACCCCATCTTAGCCTCCGCAATCTTTTTTGCACAATCGTCAAGGATCTCCGCTGCTTCCTTGCTCAAGGTGGGGACCAGAGGGCTCTTATGAATTTCTTCCTCCCCCTGGTTTTCTGCCTCCAGTTTCTGTCCCCTTTCTTCCTCCTTTTCCCTTCCCTCTAGCTCTTTGTCCTCTGCCTGATTTATATTTTCCTCATCCTTTTGATCATCTAGCCCAGGGGGCCCCTCCTTCTCTTCCTTCTCACCCTCCTTCTTACCCTTCCCTTTCGCTGTCCATTTCTGATTCGGACGGCCTTTCTCCGTTCGACCCTTCCTCTTCTTACCCTTCCCCTCCAATCCCTTCCTAAGGTCATTCCTTGGGTTCTCTTCCTTGACCTCGTCTGATGAAGTCTGCTTCGAGGATCCCTCCTCCTCCTTATCCTTCATCTTACCCTGGTCTGTGTCCTTATCTTCCGACCGACCCGCTTTCTCTTTATCCTTCATAAGAGCTTCTTTATAGCCTTGCTTTTGCTTCGAGCTCGGATCGACGGTCATATCCTTCTTCATTGCTAAGGGACAAATCGGGTCATTTTCCTCATGAAAAAAATGTCGACATGCCCTGCACCACTGGGAGTCCGCACATGCAACGTCCAATTTCACATAACCGTATTCCTCCATATCAATAATCAATGTTCTTTTATATGAAACTCGCGCGGAGGGAACCAGTCAAACATGACATTCCACAAGTCAGGTGAGATGGGATCCGCAAACGCTGGAGCGGCCCGTAAGACTTTACCATACGCTTTCCCTACGGCACCTCTCAAGTGAGGGAGCGCCGAGAGTGGGACTTGAATCACTCGGATTCAAAAAAAATGGAATTTCAGTGATTCATTCCAATCATACAACTCCTGCTCATTCATCGAAGGCTTAAACGTCAACGTGTATTTTTTTCCTTAGCATCCATCGGGCTATTTCCTTAGCACTAGCCACATAGGTGGCTAGATTTTTCCCTTCGTTTCGAAACATCCCTCTCTTGGGAGGGGCGTTATTCTCTCCTGCCTTTGCCCAGCCTTCTTCGTATATCCTTACCAGACTGTTTTTCACTTTGACTGGCAGGGACGTAGAATCATCGCCGAAATGAATTTTCACCGAATGATCTCTTAGCCATTCCGCTTGAATATCAAAAAAATTCTTATTTACCAAGACTTGAACGTAGCCGTCACCGGATTCCACCACCTCTGGGGCGAAGTCCTCCGGAAGGATACCGTTCTGGTAACAATCATTCAAAATTTCCCTCATTTGCTTTTTGTCTTCCGCTGAATTAGGAACACCCTGCGGTTGGTTTGATGTCGACATCGCGAGCTCCGCCTGAGGGATCCTAGTTTTTCGACTATTGACGTCGCGAGGCAAAGACGCCCCAAATCCCCTGGGCGTACAACTCATCAGCCGTAAGTATACCACTAGCCCCCACGTTCCCCGAGAACGTTCCTTCTGCCCTCCTCTCAGGACTAAGAGCAACGCCACCAGCAAAGTTAACAAAAACACGAGCAGATCTTGAACCATAATGGGAGACCAAAGAACCCAATAAAGCATCTTGTGCCCTTACTTCATCTTCCTAGGTTGCTACGCACAACTTACCGGAGTAGGTCGAGCTTACCAAGGACGGGAAACCCCATGGCTTCCTCTCACCCGAATCAATCTTCTCCTTCCACACTGACCCGATGTCCTCCGAAACCCTGGTCTAGGGTGGCATCTGCTGATTTCCCCTGCTCGGGTGATTCCCCGGCGGAACCGTATTGATCCAAACCCTAATCCCTCCGGTAGCACTAATTCCGTTAGCGCTGAAACGCCGCCTCCGCCGCCCGAAGGTCGTCTTCCCTTGAGAGACTTTCAATTTTCAAGAGTTGTCAGGCCCTTATCCTGAGGCCATTCGGAAAAAACAAAGCTGTATGAGTGGCGTTTTTTTTTCTCTTTTTATTTTATTTTATTTTATATATCGTCAAATAGAATATATACTTTGATTTTGGTTAAGGTGGATTATCACTTACAGTGTAATCAGTGAGGGGATTCTACAGACTGTTGAGGGTTCAGCCTCCTGATGAGTCGGTGAAACTCCGACGAAACAGTTTGTCACAGCCCCTCGTTTGTTGTCCTCTTCTCCCTCTCTGCCTACGGTTTACCGGGCAGTTCTATTTGACGATATATATAAATTTGGACCATTTCGCGATTTATGCGTGTCATCCTTGCGCAGGACCTCTTTTTTTTTAACGGATCTCGATTTATGCTCTGTCTCTTATACACATCTAGATGTGTATAAGAGACAGGTCTTGAGATATTATCATGGAGCTGACCGGCCCCAAGCAATTCATTAGTAGTCGGTTTTACTCGTCAAGTTCTATCATCTGGATTCGAACACAGCACCTGGTCTGTATTTCAACAGTTCATGGGTGTACCCACTGAGCTAGGCTCTTGGGTTTCTTTTTTTTTTTCTGGTTGAGGTCCGATGGACCACGGATCAGATATTAAACTAATGCGAACAGATACAATGCACTTGATCTTAGACAGAAGGCCGAGAAAGGTGCCCTTTTTCATGCCCTTTTTCATCTTCTGTCCAACACCATCGCGCTTTCGAGAGTGCTGTGTGGCGAGAGGCCGAAGGCTCTTGAAAACCCAACTCTTGAGAACGTCTGGCAGCTCTTGAAAAATTTCTCCCATTTCAAGAGTGGTGTGGCGAGGCCCTTTCTTCGACTGGCTTGTTCCGTTCTGATCATTAGTAGTAATCAAGCCATCCTCCTCTCACCGAGTTCGAGTGTGCGCAGGCGCGAGCGACTCGGAGGACGAAAGATGGCTGAGCATCCATGGCCCGTGCACGGTCGTGGTGCCTGTTTGCCTGGCTGCCAAAGCTTTCGGATGATCCTCCTCTCCCGCTCTTTCCTACTTCAATCCCTCGCTTGTGTTCTGCTGCTTGCGACGACTTCTAAGCGGGTTAATGGCGCCGCTTTCAAGCGACCGGTCCTTGGCCAATGGTCTTCGGCTGCCAATGCTCCTGAGCCGGGAGACAGCCAAGCCCGTCTTCTCGCCCTGCAGGTCAGACGCAATATTATGGCGATGGTGTCCACCGCCCCGCCTTCCTCGCCTCCAGTGGCCGAGTCGGAAGGGCGTATGACACTTCTTCAGCCCGAGCTCTTCCTACCGAGCAACCGGAGAGTAGTGCCTCCCATTGTCGTTCATACCCTTTCTCCAGACTTTCAGACGACGGCTTCTGGGTGGGCGTGCGGATCTATCATTCGCGACTTCACGTTTTATCCTACCGATACCCAGATGTACTTCATTCTTGACGAGTTATGTACAAGTAAAGAAGAAGAAGCAGTTGTAAGTCGGCGGTTCTCGATACGAAAAGCCGATCTTGCGCGGGCGCGCCAAGGTTTCAAGAATAGCTCGGTACTCAGCTATTGGTGGCCGTATGGCGCAGGGAGCGGCCTGAGTGAGACATCTGACTTTGTGTGGAGGAAGAATATAACTGACAACATATCAATGGCGTACGTGTTTGGTCTCGACGTGAACAGAGAAGGAGACCAGCTGGTCACAGGGGCAACTCTGAGTATTGGGGCTCAGTCGAGTGTCGTATGGCTTTCCACGGCGACTGGCAATCGAACGAGCGTGGCCATAAATGCGAAGTTTGTATGGAGCGTGGCATTCAATCCGAAGAAGACGGAACTGTTCATCTCAGACGTCGCCARTCCCGTTCGGATTCTGTCGAYGGCGGTCRCAGASTCCGGGAGGCTGGACGCCAACGGSMAATGGAAGGAAGTGTGTAATYCCTCCACCGGCGACCCGAACATTTGACGCGCTGGATTCGACTTAAGTAGCTTTCTGCCCGACGAGAGCTGCCTTTATTTCGCCGACTGGGTCTACGACCGAGTTTGGGGAGTCGATCCTCGCTCCCCTTCCGCGAGGGCCACTCTTGTGRCCGGGTCGGGCCAGAGSGGGTCCGTCGATGGCGATGGTCCCAAATCTCAGTTMGATTCCGTGGCGAAAGCAGTAGCGACACCGGACGGATGTAACGTCTTCGTTACCGCGCTTGGGAGCGGTTTACTTCGGTGGCTGAAGCTGGACGCGCCCTGCAGCAAGGCGACCAGTGTACAGCAGGTCGCCAGATACAGTGCCGGCGGGTTGTCGGGATTGGCGCTTCGCCAAGCGGGCAGCGAACTAAGTCTGTACGTCGGAGCGTCCGATGGTTCCGTGTTCGAGCTGATAATCAACAATTCGCAGCTTCATTCTTGCGCGCCTGCTCCTCCCCCTTCTGGCCCCGCGCCTCCAGAATTTTCGCCGGCTGGCCCCAGCTCCCGAGGAACTAATTTACGTCTCCTGGTCGGGCTGCCCGTGTCGATCTCAGCCTTCCTGGCGCTTGCCACGTGCCTTATTGTCCTTGTGTACAGAGCGCGCCGGAATGGGGGGAAACAGGGGCAGGCTAAATCGTCGCCGAATGCAACTGGTAGCTCAACTGTCGAGATTGGACGGACCACCAATGACACTAGGGAGGGGGTTGCATGCCAGGAGGGCGGGAGAGGTGGGGGACTTCAGCCCTTGCAAGTGAGACGATTTTCGCTGGCAGCTCTGCAGCATTGCACAGAAAATTTCAGCCAGAGATACCGCATCGGGGACAGTGGAGCGTTCGGAGATGTGTACTGGGGCTCGATCGACGATCAGGATTTGGCCATCAAGGTGACGACGGGGGATCTGACGGAGGGAAAGAGAAGCATGTTCCTGGCAGAAGTGAACAAGTTGAGCTGACTCCATCATGCCAACCTTATAGGACTGGTGGGATTCTGTGACGAGGGGAGTCGGTCGATCTTGGTGTACCCCTACTTCCAGGGAGGAAGTCTGTACGCTCGCCTGCACCACGGAGAGAAGGCAGTTCCTGGAAGACCTCTTCTCCCTCCTCTGACACTCGTTGAGCGGATGTCTATCGCCTGGCAGATTGCCAGGGGGCTCAGTTACCTTCACGGGGGAGCCGACCCGCCAGTCATTCATCGCGACATGAAGAGCAGCAACGTCCTTCTTGGTGATGGCGCTGGGGAGAAGCTGCGCATCGTGCTCGCGGATTTCGGACTAGCGACCATCGGAGAAAGAGTGTTTGGTGGGACAACACGCGACACCGCGGTGAAGACCTCGCACGTTGGCGGGACTTTCGGGTACATGGCGCCGGAGTACGTGATGAGCGGAACCCTGTCGGAGAAGATCGACGTGTACGCTTTTGGCGGTTTTTATGGAGCTGCTTACGGGGCGAAAGGCCGCCACGGACGCGCCGTCCGGTAACGGGTCTTTGCAGACGCTAGCGGACTGGGCAAGGCCGTTCTTTCGAAGCGAATTCATTGCTGGTGGAGGGATGCCGCATGCAATTCTGGACTCTTGCTTGCGTGCCGTGGTGGCGGGGCGCCCATACCAGCAGATGACGATGGAGGCACTGCGTTTAGCGAGCGGCTGCTTGATGATGGAGCCTGCTGCGAGGCCAAGGATGACCGAGCTAGCGGAGAGGCTTGGGGATGTGTTGGTAAAAGCTCATGTCAATATACGGAGGGTATGAACATCTTGCACATACGACTTGGACGTGTGGCATGTTCTCGCTAGCGGATGCAGAGGGAACTGCAGCGGAGACGCTGACTGAATGTTGTATGCAAATGGGGGAAGGAAAAGTGATAGGTAGCAGACGGAGGTAGGTGGCTAACTGGACGAGGACGGAGAACTAATACTGTAAATTAATACA